CCAACAATTAATATTACATGGCAATGTGTAGACATCAGTATGTCGAGTATGTGAAATTGATAGAAATTAGATTCTCTGAGAGGGCAACAGTGGCAGAACATCACATGAGGCTCCATACACCCTACTCTATTTCATTTTTGTTTTCATAAAAATTGTAAAAGCCTTGTGGGTTTCGGACAAATGTTCATGTTTGGATCCGTCAGATAAATTTGTAAACATGTTAAGATTTACATAGATCACCAAATGTTAAAATTTGGTATGAGTATCTCTGTTTTGGGTCAGGTTTAAATGTACTCTTTCCTATCAAATTCTTCATATGCATCACATCTATCGAATTAATATACTCTTTCCGTTCCTTGAAAAATGATGTTTTGGGTTTTGCACATATATTAAGAAAAAGTCAATCCAGTAACTTTTAACACAATTTGTTAGTTTTCAAGACAACTAAATCATATTAGGACCAATGAAATTCATCTTGTGTAAAAGAATACATATTAATTAAGTGGTAAAATATCAATCTTATAGAAACAAGAATAAAACCCAAAACATCATTGTTCGAGGAACGGTGAGAGTATAATGTAGGAGTAGGACCAATATTGATTAAACTTAGTTTCTTCTTCAATTAAGTTTGATGAAAAAATTTCCAACACATTTCTTCGTTTGCTTGTATTTAGTATCTTCAATCATGTACTGACGAGTTCTGAAGGTATCATCATTTCCCTGTTTAAATCAAGAGAATATGTAACCGAATTTCATCATTTTATTTGCAAAAATGATAGATAACAAAATCGTAAAAAAGTGGTTTCATTTATCGCATGTAATTTTTATAAACAACATAGATTTTTTTTGTGTGTTTTAAGCAAATATCGCATTATTTTATCTCATAACACACTACTTTTCATGATATTAATTAAAATCACATGCCAAAAAACGCATAACTGATTTACTGTCATTTTGCCAAATTTACTAATTTTGGCTACCTCAAATCAATTTAGTAATGTGAAACTAATAAAATAATACTAACCTGTTCCTTTATTACAAAAATTTAAGTTGAAAATTCATCTATATATCTCTCTTTGAACCAAGACTAGGGCATATACCACAAAACTCTTCAATACCGTTAAGACGGGTCTTTTTCAAATGTAACGGTATATTGTATTCAAAGTCGGATTCGACATGCGGACGAAATACCTATTGAACCTAAGTAATTGTGTTTTAGTAATATATGATTTTATGAACCTATGTTGAAAATGCTTTATATATATATATGTGGTTGGCTTAAGTCAAGTTCGTTAGAAATCATTTTCTTTGGGAGATCAATTATTATTGTAGATTTCATTTAACCGAATCATACTAACAAATAGAACACAATCGGATATGATCTTGTGGAATCCTGATCCTACCAACATCTAAACTGGTAATATGTAGGTCAGGAAGATGCCGCATACACACACACACGTATTCGTACAATAAATTAGCGAGTTTATTAATAATATTTAAACAAAATTAGAGAGATTCTTTGCGTCATCCGAATTCCAAGAACGTTGTTTTTTTTTGTCAACAATCACCATTATATTAAATCTCTGGAACATCGTCCTTACACTGTTCCACAAGTAATTGAATATGTATATATGCTTTCATCAATGTATATGTATTAAAATAATGAGTTATAATTATTAATATTTTTGTTTTGGGGTAAATGAAAGAAAAAACAGAGATTGCGAGACAACATATGCCATGTTTTAAAATCTCGGGGATGGGTTGGTTTTATCGTTATATGTCTTTGACCGTCAACAATTTTGGGCTCTTCGATGGTTTTTTAACCTTTTCACCCATACNATGAAATATCCGCAACTATTTACTTGTGACGTGATAAACATCTTCTCATTAAAATCTTGATATTGGTCGGTCTAGGGTTCACCAATATAGAAATATTTAACTTCACTTGTTTTAAGAAATAATAATATTGAAATATAGAGGAAGTACTATAGCTAAAGTACTCTCGAGGCATAATCTTTCGAATTTTTGTAAATATATTGAGTAGAACAAGGACTGAAAATTTGTGAATTTTAATGATGTAATTAAAGTCAGAAAAAACGGCATCAAATTAAGAGATGAGGTTCCTAATTAATAGGAAAGCTACTGATCTTGGACTGTGTGTAAGGGTAGGTCTCATTAATAGCATATGCATGTTGTATTCACTCCGCCCCAATTAACCGCATTATTCTCTCAGCTTCCTATTCCAATTCAACCCTCAAGACTCGTTTGTGTTCTGACTTGGACGAATCAAATACTATAGCCTAATAAACTATATCCAATCTCTATAGTTCTTTTTCTTTTTTTATAGCTTTGAATGCGGTGTTAATCAATGTATTCTAGGTTATATGTGTGTATCAATGTAGTATATCCGAATCTGAAAAAAGTAATCGCTTCCAATTGGATGTTTCTTTTCGTAGTTTTCCAAGTGGTTGATTTAGTTTTCTAGTACACGTAATTTGTCAAACCAAATATGCATGTACATGCAAGTCTCTACTCAAAAAGATAAAATACGTATTTTTATTATTTAGTTAAAAATATTTATGTAAGTAACTAAATCAGTTTTTCTAAAAAAAAAAGAAGTAACTAAATCCGTTAAACTATTTTATGGGCTTCTTACTTTTAGAGGTACTTTCTTGTAGTTTTATTACATTTGACATACTTATTTTACAAGGTGTACATATTTGTAGTAGAAAAATTTTGTATCCCTAATATAAGTCTGACTAGGAAAGAGGCGTGCAGTTAAATATTTCGTTAGAAACACTTTTAATTACTTATTCTTTTTAATTTATTTTAGAAAAAATCTGAGGCAGCGCCCTTCCCTACATTTACCTTCGCCTTTTACTTGTCTGGTAAAACCCTAGATCTCAATATTCTCTTCGTGGTGGTGGCCGCCTGTGTAAAAAAGAAATTGACAGTTCGTGGAGTAAGGGTTTTGAAAGTTAACGACGGTGAAGATCCTCCAGGTATTTAAGTTTTTTGTTTACACTTTTTGTTGTTATTGAAATAAGTTTTCGTCTGTTAATTTGTATATATGTCAAATGTAGGAGGAGAAGAATTTGTTGAGGCGA